TTTAGTTCTGTATAGATCTACAAGACGCCTGTCCAGTTTTGAAAGGTATATTGCTCTTGTTTTAGCTACTATTACTATATAAAGTTACAGCATGTCCTGATCAGAAGTCTCCACAATCGGCAGTAAGAGCAATTTAGGCAGTGTTTTTGGGCATATTTCTACTGCATTCATGGTGGAGGGGTGGGTAGTGATGATCATGGTGATGGACAATTTTAGTACTGGCTTTTCTAAAGATAACTCTAAAATTTCTCCAAAGGGATTTTTAGAATGAGCATCAATATTTCGAAATTTTAATGACCTTCCTCATGTACCCTTTGCCATTTTGTAGGTAAACAAGAGAAAAATGCCAAGATTCACTTGCTTTTCAAAATTCCAGCATGCAGCCAGAGCCATAGAAAATACTAAGTCTGGAATTGGTAGTGTAACTGATGAAGGTCTCAAACAGAGAAAAGAGGAGAATTAAGGTAGGTGGAATGCACCACATGACAAACTCTTGGTCAACGATGGGGTCACATCTGTGACAGTGGTCCCATAAGATTATAATGCTGGATTTTTACTGTACCTTTTCTATGTTTAGATATATTAAATGCACAAATACTTATTATGGTGTTACAATTGCCTACAGTATTCATACAGTAATAGGCTGTCCTATGTTTGCAGCCTAGGAGCAATAGGCTTTACCGGCTCTACCGCATAGCCTAGCTGTGTGGGCCTGTGTATACTCTGTGAGGTTTGCACGATGATTAAATGACCTGATAACCCATTTCTCAGAGGCATTCCCATTGTTAAGTGAAGCGTGACTGTATCGAGAGATGGCCCCCAAGATTCTTGTCACAGATGTATATACCCTATGTGATGTATACACACTCCCTTTGGAGTGTGAGCAGGAGGGTAAACAGGATGGGATTTCCCTCCTGTGATTAGGTTACTCTATCCAGCAAAGATGAGAATTTTCAGATGTAATTAAGGTCCTTGATTAGTTGAATTTCAGCGACTCAAAAGAGAGATCATCTTAGTGCACCTGAACTAATCAGGAGCGCCTTTAAAATGAAGGGGCCCTTCCTGAAGGTAGTGATTTAAAGCATAAGAGAGATTTTCCCGCTGGCTTTGAAGGAGGACCTGAGGGCAGCATCTAGGAGCTGAAAGTGACCTCTGATCAATAACCAGCAGGAACACAGGGACCTCAGTCCTACAACTTCAAACACTGAATCTGCCAACAATGTGAATGACCCCAAAAGATGATGTCTTCAAAGCAGAGGTGCCAGCTGAGCAGCTGGCAGAGCTTTGGCCTCAGCCTCGACTCTGGGCTCCCTCCTAGCTGCACCAACATGTCCTCCAGACATTAAAGTTATGAGTGCCTTCCTGATCTGTGGTCTATGTTGAGCCACTATCTTGGGATTGAGAGAGGCAAGAGAGGCACAACTTCCATTATGTACAAACATGGTGTCAACCCCAGGGCTAGGCTGCCTCAGGCAAATGTGAGCCTAGGTGAGAATACAGCTGGCTGCCACCCTGATTTCAGCCTGGTAAGACACTGAGCAGCTGTCCCATACCTGAACTCTTGACCCATGGAAACTGTAAAATAATGAATGCATGTTGTTTTAAGCCTCTAACTTCATGGTAATTCCTTCTACAGCAATAGAAACTGATACAAGAAGGTATACTGAACTTCATTCTGATAGTGCATGAGGAATGTGCAAATGTCATACACTCCTAGAGAAATCACGTGTTCACTCACCTTAGAGAAAAAGTGGCAAGTCTTTCTGTCCATGGACTGACAGCTCACCCTTTGAATTTACTATCCAGCAGCCTAGGAGCAATTGAGTTTACTACCCAGCATCTTCTTAGGTGTCCTGTTGTAATCTGACTTTAGCACATATGCTGCCTTGGTTCCAGTGGACTGTGCTCCAAGGACTACAGGTTTTCCTACTTGGCTCAAATATAACCAGTAGATGGTGCTGAATTTACTGCTTAAAAAGGAGGATATAATTTTTCTTGGCACAATGATCATGTGCCACGAAAAATATTGCTGGTGCAATGATCACGATGGCCGACAGGAAGTTATCCCTCTAGGCTCTTCTGGATCAATGACTACTCAGAGCTGGATGAGAACCACCAGAATTTATAAATTGTTGTGAGGGTAACAAGATGCAGTATTTATCATCTGCATGGTGGCTTAGACACAGAGAAACTTAGAGAGCAACCCCAAACATAAGCACAGGCCGCCGATTAGGACAATGAGATGAGATCAAGTCAAAAGGAACCTGCTGAATCACATCCTGCCTTTTTTTTTTTTTTTTTTTTGAGAGAGAGTCTTGTTCTGTTGCCCAGGCTGGAGTGCAGTGGCACAATCTTGGCTTGCTGCCACCTCCACCTCCCGGGTTGAAGTGATATGATTCTCCTGCCTCAGCCTCCTGTGTAGCTGGGACTACAGGCTCCCACCGCCACACCCAGTAACTTTTGTGTTTTTAGTAGAGACAGGGTTTCATCATGTTGGCCAGGCTGGTCTCGAACTCCTGACCTCAAATGATCCACCCACTTCAGCCTCCCAAAGTTCCGGGATTACAGGTGTGAGCCACCAAGCCTGGCCACATTCTGCTTGTTAAGCAGTAAAGTCAGCATCACCTACTGGTTACATGTGAGCCAGGTAACAACCCCCCCAGTCCACTGGAACCAAAGCTGCACGTGTACAAAGGTCACATTACAACAGGACACCAAAGAATATGCTGGATAGTAAATTCATGAGCTGTCAGTCCATGGACAGAAAACCTTGGGAGCATCCAACAAAGCCCCAAATCAAATGAGGTACAGCCACCGAATGAGAAACAATAGCAAATTGTCTGACCAACCAGGGGTAGAGCAGTTACAGGCAGATGCACATGTGTGCAAAGAGCACCTGTAACTGCTACCGACAGGGCAGATAAGTTCTGTATTTAATGTGGCAGAAACTTATATTTAAAAGTTTAGTGAAAGAGTAAGTCCTCCATCTATAGTAGAACCCTCAAAGCACCAAATTCATTATAAGCCAGAGAGCTTTTGGATATGGTTAAAACTGGAAACATCTGGGACACTTAACTGTTTTATGATATAAGCCATGAGAAGAGCTGTATACTTTTAGTGACCATATTATTTACTTTTCCATGACTTGTTCCCATTAAAACAATCTTTTAGAACCCTTTTTTGTTTTTGGCTCAGAAAGCATGTCACTTCTAAGTGCCACCAAGACGCTTTCGATAGCCATTAAACGTTCCAACATTTTTCCAAGGACAGAGGATGCCTGCAGGTGCTTATCCTCACCCTTGTGAAGAGATACAGCCCTGTTCAGAAGAACAAAACAGGCGCCTCTGCTTGGATTTGGTTAATTTTGTCATCTGCATATATAGTACTCAAGGCATACCCATCCCCTTCAATAGGCAATAGAGAAAATCTGCTCCCCAGGCTCTTACCAGAGAGGTCAGCATTTATTTGGCCTCTGCTACTTCTTCCCAGAGCCTTCCTGAGAAAACTGATAACTGACAGAGATGGAATTAGAGGAACGCACTCTATCCATTCTTCCAGGCAGCCTAAGCTCTATCAATTTAGCTATCTAGCCCTTAACACTGTGGTCATGGTCCATTGGGGTGGGACAAAAGGCCTTAAGACCTTCCTGGTTTGAGGAGTAACAGTGAAGCGGACCAAGTCATGGCCCATCGCAAGATCCTCCTGGCCATGGGCTGTACCTTGGAACACCTGAAGTGGATGATGTGAAAACTCTGTTAACTGTGGCTTCCCCTGTCTTCTCCTTCCCTTCTACCTTCAAGATGAAATGTCTTTGCTAAATTATCTTAGACATATTGATGTTATACCTTCAGTTTTCATGAAGAGAGAATATAAGAAATGGTAACATAAGAAATATCCTGACAAATTTGCACTCAGTAAGACACTACACTGTCCATCATATTTTCTCTTTATAGAAGAAGAAATACAGGAAATGTCTTTAAAAATTTTAAACCAGAAAAATATATTTATTTAAATTAAAATTTTGTTTTCAAAGAGAAATAAATAATGTACTGGCAGCCAAGAAGCTCAGAGTTGAAGTCAATACTCAATTGCAGAAACTCTTATCAGCCTTGGGATATATAAAATATACATATGCTCCCTACCAGCACATTGTTTTCTACTTATATTTCAATATCCTGCTAATGAAATGCCTTTTTCAAGATACCTCAAATCCTTTTTGGGAGTAGATGAGTTGTACATTAAAAACACTTCAAGTGGGATGATAAACACAAAGCTTTAAGAATATGTTGTATTTTTCTTTTGAGATGGAGTTTCGCTGTTGTTACCCAGACTGGAGTGCAATGGCACGATCTCGGCTCACCGCAACCTCCGCCTTCTGGGTTCAAGCAATTCTCCTGCCTCAGCCTCCCGAGTAGCTGGGATTACAGGCACGCGCCACCATACCCAGCTAATTTTTTGTATTTTTAGTAGAGACGGGGTTTCACCATGTTGACCAGGATGGTCTCGATCTCTTGACCTCATGATCCACCCGCCTCAGCCTCCCAAAGTGCTGGGATTACAGGCGCACACCACCATGCCCAGCTAATTTTTATATTTTTTTTAGTAGAGCCTCCCAAAGTGCTGGGATTATAGGTGTGAGCCACCATGCCCGGCCAAGAATATGTTGTATTTTAAAAGACAGTAAAATACAGTGGCTAAAAGCCGTATTACTTGGTTTTTGAATTGCAACCCAGACATCCCTGACTTTGGTCAAGGTGTTAGTCTCTCTCTGAGTCAGCTTCCTTATCTGTAAAGTGCAGTGAGCAACAGTTCCTTCATATAGGGTTATTTTGAGGAACAAATGTATTGGAGGAATAAATGAAGCACTTAGAATAGTAAGCAGTAAACATGGTTTGCTCACGGGCTAATGTTAAACTCTATCAGTATACGGTAGGATCAAAACGTCCTATCCTATTAGGCTTCGTGACTTTGTCTATTCCAGTGCAACATACAATGCTTACCTACTGTGGCAGATGCTGATGACAGCAGGGATTTGCCCCAGGATCCCCAGCCTGCCCATCCTCCTCCACTTGGAGGGGAATCCACAGCCTGGAGAAAAACAGATTAGCCACAGGTCAGCAAGTCAGTATATCTCTGAATGGAAAAACATCTATTGGTTTGAAACAAAGAGGAGGTTTGGAAAAGAATCATCCACAACCGTATCTCACTGGCTTATAGTTTATAAGGGTCATAAAAGAATATCCTGACCTACACTGCAATATGTACTTTGGAACCAACTTTATTAGTGCTGGTGTTGGCTTCTGAAGCCTTGGTTTGAAGGGAGAAGGAAGTTTGATGTTAACTGAGCCTTGATTCTCTCCCATTATCTAGAAGACAAGGAAAAGGGTTGTATGGGAAATAGACACGCATGACGGCACAAGAGTGATTTGAAAAACTTCAAAATGACCTGAACCCAAGAAATTCTTACAGGGCTTTGAAAAATGTGCTTTTCAAGGTAGAGGTAACTTTTAAGGCTCTGGGGCAGTGGGCAGGTGCTTTGGCATGGATGAGAGGCAAAGTGTCTGAAAAGCATCAATAAGCCCAAGATGGATGGGCAGCAGTGACAGGAAGGCTTGCAAGGTAGAAACCTTTGAATCGAGGTGCCTCCTTCGCTCACAACGGCCCCTGTAACACAGGGATAAGAGTGTCCCTGACTTCAGTGAATTTCAATTCTTTTGCCTGGATTTTTGGAATTAGAACTGACAGACTGTGGTTCAGTGTGAACTGTGTGCATAAGCAGAAGACGAAAACTCAGGCTATGTGGGTGATCATGTTCTGCCCACCGTGCAGACTAAGAATTAAGAGAAGGCAGAGTGAGCAGAATGGAGATTGGCTTAGAGCTGCTGTTTGGATTCCTGACAGCTTCTCAGTCCCTGGTTTCTGTCCCTACCCACAGCCCTGCTGCTTGCCACTCTTTGGATTCTATGAGATTCTCTCATCTTCTTGTTCATTCTTTTTTTTAAAAAATGTTTTGTTCACTGATATACCCCCAGAGCCTAGAAGAGTTCTTGGAATATAATGAGTGCTTAATAAATATTTATTGAATAAATGGCTGAAATGCATCCATTTTCTCAGTTAGGTGTACATGAGTTTCTGTTACTTGCAACCAGTAAGTCCTGACTCAAGTAGTGGAACCCCAGCTTTCTCTTTCTATCTGGGAACACATCCAAGAAAACAAGGCCAGAATAAATATACTATTAGCTAAATATATGGAGAATCATAGCTCTTTTTTACTCAAAAGAAAGGAAGGAACAAAGGAAGGAAGGAAGGAAGAAAGGAAGGAAGGAAGGAAGGAAGGAAGGAAGGAAGGAAGGAAGGAAGGAAGGAAGGACAGAGAGAATGTAAGGAGACAGTGAAAAATTCCTACAGCATAAGGCCAGAGGCAGTGGTTCACGCCTGTAATCCCAGCACATTGGAAGGTCAAGGCGGGTGGATCACTGAGGTCAGGAGTTCAAGACCAGCCTGACCAACATGTGGAAACTCCCTCTCTACTAAAAATACAGAATTAATCCCAGTTACTCAAGAGGCTGCCATGCCTATGTCCTGAATGGTATTGCCCAGGTTTTCTTAAAAAAAAAAAAAAGAGCCTGAAGCAGGAGAATCACTTGAGCCCAGGAGGCAGAGGTTGCAGTGAGCCGAGATCACACCATTGCACTCCAGCCTGGGCAACATAAGTGAAACTCCGTCTCAAAAAAAAAAAAAAAAAATTCCTACAGTGCCTGTAGATTCCATAACTGTTGACCCGCAGCTGGTCCATCAGTCATCCCCAACTCCCTACTCTCTTGCTGTTTTCTAGCCTTGCAGATAAGGATGATCATGTGAAACAGCTTTCAACCAATGAGATATATAAATGGAAAAGTTTTTGCTTTCATAATAGTTACAGCGAATGCCCACTGTTTCCCCTTCTCTTTTTCAAACATGAAGTTTGAAATTGAAGTGTCATTTTTGCTGCCACAAGGGTCAAGAAATCACAGTCACTAGTCCTGGCTCTGCTGAGCTCCTAAACCAACATGAGTAGCTGCCTGTTTCCATTCTTTCTATGAAGTGAGAGAAAAGAAAATAACTATTTTGTAAACTACTATGTGTTGGATTTTAGTTACTTCGACTCAAAAGCATTCCTACCTGATTCAAATACTACCCATCAGTGTAGAGTACTAGTTGAGATTAAGTTATGGAAGTTAAATTGCTTGGGTTTGACTTCAGGCACTGCTGTTTTGGACAACAAATTACTCAAGTTATTTTACACCTTCATTTCTTCATTATAAAATGCAAAGTATAGCAGTAAAAGTGCCATAAGGATAAGAGCCAATAATCTCAGCGGGTGGTTGTGAAGATTAATAGAGATAATTCATATCAAGTTGTGGGCACAGTGCCTGGCATATAAGAAGAACTCCATAAGTGCGAGCTAGAAATAATGACAAGAAAAAACTATACTTTTAAGACTATGAAGCAAAAAGCTTTGAAAGTTAGCTGTCATTTTTTTTCTTTCTGTCTGGAAACAGTGAGAACCTTGTTAACATGAATGGAAATATTCATGAGTCATCACTGCCTGCTTTCATTTTTGGTGTCTACATTGATTTACTTCACTTCAGCAATGGAATCCAGCAGCAATTTTACACCATTATGAAGACAGATGGAAATCAGTGATTAATATCATTCTTTCACAGGACAAATCACTACCTATGATTAGGAAGAGTTAATACAATTAGAGGTGACAGCTTCTGACTCAAATTTATAATATTTATTATGCTCTGACAGCTGGTAATTGACTAGCAAATGGAAATAAATGTTAAATGAGTCTAGAACTTTTTGCTGTATAAGTGACTACTTCAATTGCTTTATTAATAAAGCCCTTTGGCACTGAGCTGTGACTTCTTAATCAGCTATGAAGAATATTTGTTGGCTGGGTGCAGTGGCTCACGCTTGTAATCCCAGCACTTTGGGAGGCCGAGGCGGATGGATTGCCTGAGCTCAGGAGTTCAAGACCAGCCTGGGCAACACGGTGAAACCCAGTCTCTACTAAAATATAAAAAGTTAGCCAGGTGTGGTGGCATGCGCCTGTAGTCCCAGCTACTCGGGAGGCTGAGGCAGGAGAATTGTAAGAACCCGGGAGGTGGAGGTTGCAGTGAGCCAAGATCGTGCCATTGCACTCCAGCCTAGGTGACAGAGAGAGACTCTGTCTAAAAAAAAAAAAAAAAAAAAAAAATTGTTATTAAATGGAAAATAAACAAATAAGTACACATATTTAATGTAAAACATGTAGACTAAATGTTAAAGATGAATTATTATATCTCAACATGAATACTTTTTCCACTTTAAATGGACCTAATGTCACACAATTAGCAGACTCTACAACAGGCAGCATGGAGCTACTCAGATTGCCTCTATCACCAATAGAGGAATTTTTAAACTTTTTTCTCACTCTCCCTGCCCTGTAACTCCCACCTCCTTCGACAGACAACTTCACATCCTAATTCATAGAGAAAAAATAAAGCCATCAGGTGATAATGATCTCAACTGCCTTCCCACTCCCCATAACTCTGAGAAAAATGACCTTATATTATAACAGCAACTCAGACTTAGCTTGATCAAGAAGGATATTCAAAACTCAACCGGAGATCATTTAAACATCTAAATCTTTGTGTGGTCCTAAAAAAGAATGTAGGATTCTATCAAGTTCACAGTCCTTTTTTTTTTTTTTTTTCGGAAACAGGGTCTCACTCTGTTGCCCAAGCTGTAGTGTGTGGTGTGATAACACCTCACTGCATCCTCCAACTCCTAGGCTCAAGTAATCTTCCTGCCTCAGCCTCCCCAGTGGCTGAGATTACAGGTGTGCACCACCACAACTAGCTAATGTTTAAAAATTGTTTTTTATAGAGAGGATCTCACTATGTTGCCCAGGCTGGTCTTGAACTCATGGTCTCAAGTGATCCTTCCATCTTGGCCTCCTGAAATGCTAGGATTACAGATGACTGCACCTAGCCTAAGTTAATGTTGTTTAGAAATAGGAAAGAGATGTTCATATCTAGTATCCCATTTAAAGATCTTTATCATTAAACAGAAAATGCATTTATTTTAGGCTATCAAGTTTAAAGGTACTAGATAGAAAAAAATAAAATCTCAGAACTCCATCAAATTCAAAGGTCTTTAACATTTAGATGGAAAATAAATGTACCTATCTTAAAGGTGAAGAAGCAACGTGGTTGATCTATTTCCTTGAGCAGCTCAAGAATCAGGTACTGTATGTAACTTGCATCCAGGGATGTGGGCAATGAAACCTGTGAGTTTTATAACTCATAGGGTGATCTACCCTCCTTAATTTTTGTAACTCATGACACAGATACTCTAAAAAGGGGGTCAGTATAACAGCTGGGAGGATAAGAATTGCTCTGGAGCCCGAAACTCTCTCAAAATATCTGATTGAAAATGGCCTCAGTTATTTCCAGCTAATTTTCTTTCTTTCTTGAGTCAGAGTCTTGCTCTATCTCCAGGCCCCAGGCTGGAGTGCAGTGGTGTGATCTTGGCTCACTGCAACCTCCACCTCCTGGGTTCAAGCAATTCTGCCTCAGCCTCCCGAGTAGCTCGGACTACCAGTGTGTGCCACCACGCCCAGCTAATTTTTGCATTTTTTAGTAGAGACGGGGTTTCACCGTGTTGGCCAGGATGGTTTTGATGTCTTAACCTCATGATTCCGCCCGCCTCAGCCTTCGAAAGTGCTGGAATTACAGGTGTGAACCACTGTGCCTGGCCCTTTCCAGCTAATTTTCTTCCTTGGTAAATACGTGTCATTCAACTCTGGGAGGATTTAAAAAAATATAGGAAGGTTTAATGTATTGAAGACATGGTATTCACATTTTCGTGCATATTTGGTCTTTTCTGTACACTAATATTGAAGGAATCTGACTTATTAGAGTGACAGTTTTTGAAAATCAATAAAAAATGAATAATTGAATTATTAGACTTAAGATTTTAAGCTGACATCTTCCCAAGTTTCTGTATATTATTAAGAGGACTTTAAGTCAACTCTATAAATTTATTTTAATAGCTTT